GTCCCTGAAAGTGATACTGCTGGTGTAGCAGCCAATACGGAGGGTGACCTTGTTGGAACGGAACACGTGCAAGAGACTGAGAGCTTGGGAATCAATGGTGAAAGGAATATAGATTTAAACAAGTTTTGTGCTTTAGCTGGGAACACAATGCAGCTGGATGATGGAACTCCAGGGAAAGAAGCTCAGGTGCAGAATCCTGCAATTTGTGATGAGAGTATGCCTCCTTCCCCAGAAAATAATCTCGCCGAGGATGATAATGTGATTGAAGATACTGAAGCTGAAGGAACCATCAGGACAGCTGATCTTTTGGCTTCAGAGGTAGCTGGGAGCTGGGCGTGCAGTACGGCTCCTTCTGTCCATGGTGAGAATGATACTCCTAAGAGTAAAGACAACGATGCATGTCCTGCAGCTTTACAAGATTCAGGTGCTCCAGGGGGTGAGAGTCAATGCGCTACATCTACTTCCAAAGCTCCTTCTAGATGGGATAATGATCGTAAAGCACTAAGCGAGATGATTGGAATTGTTGCTCCTGATTTGAAGGAGCAATTCAGTCATGCAGTTGGTAGTGACTGTGATGGAGGAGGAAATGAAGGAGGCGCTTCTGATTCTGCTACAGAAAGTTGCACTGATGATGAGGATAACATAATGAATACTGAAGCAGCATCTGATGCAGAGACAGTTGACGGTGAGAAAGTAAATGAGGATGCCATGGATGAAGATGATGAAGCCACCCAAGAAGATTCTGTTGGATAACTGGCATACATGTGCATGGAACTGGGTGTTGTTTCTGGTTCTTCTAGGATAGTACCATGGGTCAGGAAGCCACACGCCAAGCTTCCCTAAACAGGAGGAAGGGGAGACTCGTGCTCTGATGTCATATCTCAAACTTATCATTTCAGACGGCTTGGATCATGTACAGAAGGTAGCCAGGTAGTGTATCTCTAAACTTTATGTAGTCACTTCAAAATGTCAGCGTTAAGTTTTTTATTTGTATATATTTAGAGAACTTTCCAGAACTAGAAATCTTGGTTAGGCTAAATCAATGTGCATTAGGTGTTGATTGTTTGCTTGGCACCTTTGAAGTAATTCTCAAGAGTGTTGACCAGCTTATTCTTTTTTTAATATTTTTTTATTGTTAAGTTTTCCCCAAAGTACACAAGGACTTGGTGGTCATGTAATTTACAGTTTTGTCGTAATTAAACTTCACCGCCAAGAATTTTAGTTTTTTCCGGGAGGAGTTTTAATGATCGAGTGCCTCAACTCCTGTGTAAGCTAAACATGTGAAATGAAAGGGCATTACTTGAATGCGTACTGGGATACTGCCAGTCCATGTGAAGAAACGATCAAAAGAGTGTATGAATAGGGAGATTTATCGCAAAAAGTAGCCTTATGAAATGGGTTAGAAATTTGGCAGACGAGTATGTACGAATATTCCTCTTCTAATTTACAACAATGTCCTTAGTGCGACAAGTTTTTAGAGAGTTCAAGGGAAAATAATATTATTGGCGTAGTTCTTGGTAGCTAAATTACGCGTAATAGAGGTCGGCGAAGCCTACTATACAAACGTAGAAATCCTGAGAAATTACCAAATGTTCATATATTGAAGGAGATAAAATAAATAAACAGTATGAACAAAGCAGAGAAACTGCATCGAAACCTAACATATATACTGTCGACTTGTCTCAACTTGTTAAATGTCATTTTAAATAAGCAAGTTAAATTTCGACTAATAAAACTTGGTCAGAATCAATTTTCTGTCGAGTTATTAGTGTAGATTCAGCTTGATCTAAATCTGTCTTAAAATCCTTTAATAATCCATGAACGGATAAATTTGGCACCGTCATGTTGATTACTGTCTTCAACTTTCATATGGTATTTTCATTTTTTTCTTGGTCAACATTCAAATTACGCATCTCAAGAATAAAATAAAATTACTAATAAAAGAGTTAGTAGTAGTCGTAGCAGCAACAACAGCTAAGTTCATACTGTCAATTAAGGGACCATTTGATAAATTGTCCACATGAAATTGGATAAACAGCACCGTCTTCTTCTTCCCCCATACTCATGAACAAGACTCCAAGAGAAAGAATAAAAAGATAGGTTAATGATGGCAATGGAGAAATAGATGAACCTCATCTTGGCTCCTTTCTTCTCACCACTTTTGACTCCCAACCCCTCATTCACATGCACTTGGATTGCTTCACGTGTCTCTGTTGCAGAAAATAGATATATAATTCCAGGGCTTTATTTGTTAACTACTAATATTCTTAACCCAACCATTTTTTCATATATTTAAAGATTTATATATTCCAAAATTTACCATCCAGTTATTTGTTTTTTTTTTTCTCCATTATCGTAGATAATATATCATGTGATAGCTAGCTAATTCTCCATCAAAAGGTTTCTAATTTTTTTGTTCGCTATCCATTCTCATTTGAATATTTCTTTGGTGGCCATTTGATTGCAGTTGAGACCCTACAAAAAAAACAAAGACGAAAACAAGAAGGAAACAACAAAAAAGAACAAGGAGAGAAAGAATCCCCCACCCCACAAGACAAAAGGTTTCATATAGTAAGGGGTCGTTTGGTAGTTGGTGACACTTGACAGCATAACTAGTGTTATATTTGATTGCTTTTTCCATTAGGGGTATAAGTAATAGTATATGGATAAGTTATACAACAAATCTATGAATTATCTCTACAAGGTAGAATGTGGAATAACTAATACATGTATTAGTAATATATGGATTAAATAATCAAATGACCAAAAATTCCTCATATATATTTTAAATTACACATTTATATAATTAAAGTAAAGTAAACATTTAACAAAAAATAATCTCTACATTACAATAAATTACTAATCCATGTAATACTAATCTTTTACATAAATAATTCATTTATAATTAAACAATGTATAACAAAATCCTATGTAACTAAACTTTGCATAATTAATCCCTACAAAATTAAACTCTACATAACTAATCCCTATATAACTAATGAGTCCTACATAATTAATTTCTATATTACTAGTATCTGCATAACTCTAACCAGCAACCACACGACCCTAATGGTATAATCTTTTCCTTTGAGGAAGTAATAGTGGATGAATCCGGCCATTTCTTCAACCAAAAATAACTTTAAACGATTGAAATATCTTTCTTCATTTCTTACAAAACCAGGAAGTTAAAAAAAATTAATGGCTAGTGTATCCAAAACTTTGAAAGCTAGTCCCTCTGTCCTATTTTAACAGTTGCTTTAGTTCAAAAATATTATTTCAAAATAATTATTATTTTAGGAACTTAAGATTAAATTTGCTATTACTTCTAACTATACCCTTATTATTAAAGATATAATAGTTCTTTCTAATACTAGTTCAATTCTCAAAAAAAAATAATGTAATAGAGTTAAGCAAATTATGCCTTGTATTTAGTATTTTTTAATAGGCATAAAAAAAGCTAAAATTACAATTAAACTGGGACAGAGGAAGTAATAGTTAAAAAGTTCTAAACTTTGACAACAAAGTGAAATTGCTTGGTAATCTTAAGAACAATTGAATCTGTAACAGTTTCTTGTCTAGTGACAAATATTAATCTAACTTGTTTAGGAAAGTTTTGTCGTCTTATATGTCATAATAAACAATAGTCAAAGTACATCTTTGACTACTAAATGGAATTAAATCCAAAAGGCGTTCTTTAACAACTAAATCCAACTTTGTCGAGGCATTTTATTGGCATTATCTTTAGAAGTGTTCCTTTGCTTCCTTTTAATTTTTTTTTTTTTTGCTGTGATTAGTATTTCGTTTCTGTAGTTTTTTTTTGTCGTAATTGCTATTATTTTGTTTTATTAAGCCGATAGTCTTTCAAAAATAGTTTTTCTATTTTTATAAAGTAAGAATAAAATCTGTGTGTATACTATATTCTTCTCGGACTCTATTTATGGGAATAATTGTTATCTTAAAAGTGTAATGGGCAAATAAGATACCTTCTCCTTATCACCTTCTTTTAAATAGTACCACTTTTTCATTTGTAATCAATCAATAATTTGCAATGACTTCCACAACCCAATGTAACTTTTATTTCTTCCTTTTGGACTTTGAATGCCTCGACCAAATAAATATCCTTTGCCTCGATCTAAGGTTACATCAATTCGTTAAATTCCACAATAGTCCATAGTCATATGCCTTTTGGTTTGGGTTAGTAAAACATGAAAATTATGCAATTCTTTAGCTTTTTCCACATTTCACTTATTAAAACAATGTAAAACTCGGACTAGATACGGAGTGTAATCATGATATCAAAAGGGAGAACGTCCTAAATTTCAAAAAAGGTGACATGCAAGTTGTATATAGCTAGTAATCCATTTTTTTTTAATTTAACCATTTGATATTTGAATTATATTGATCCCACTAATTTTATTTATGCTGATTAAATCCATCAAAAAAGTAAAACGTTTTCTAGTAACAAATCTTTTAATCCCAAATCTCGAATAAAAATGATACTCCCTCCATTCACTTTTACTTGTCTATAATTGACTTTGCATACCCCTTAAGAAATAATTAATGAAATGCATAATTTACCATGATACCCATCTTAATCGATGCATATATTTAATAGATTTGAAAAAATGATTTGAAATGAGTAATTAATATTTAATACTATGGGTAGTAATTAAGGAAAAATAAATTGTCTTTTCTTGATATGTAAAAAGTAACAAGTAAAAGTAAAAATCTAATATTTAACAAGTAAAAAATGAACGAAGGAGTACTAATTTGAAATAAAGGAATCCAAATTATCTCATCACATCTCTCTCTCTCTCGTGGTAGCCACTAATGCAATTAATGTTGGTCCTTGGACTATTTTCCTGTGTGTCAAACTTGAATCTTGGACTGAGACAGTTATCGAAAAGTCCAAAGCAACATTTTGAAGTAATTCTATTTGTATTGCTCTCCTTAAGATATGGTTTGGCTACTTTGTTGGCCTTTTGTAATCATGAGGAGCTTGAGTCATCATTGCTGTGGAAAAATATATCTCTCCCTCTTCCTCTCTTCTTCCCTTTAAGTTCTTTTCCCTCACTATAAATTATATCTATCCCATTGCACTTTTTTCTCTGCTCAAACTTGAATATATAATTAACCCCATAATCCAATATTTTTAAGACCCTCTCCTTTTTCCCATCATAATTTTGATCTCCCATTTCTCTTACTGAAACTCAAAATGTGCCATGCAACATCACAGTTAGAGTCATTTCAGCCCTCTTGCTACACTGATTTCCACAGGCCACAGTTATCTAAAACAGCCAAGATACATGTGCTCAAGCTAAGAAGGTTAGTAGTAATTAGTATAAATTTTATGTCATCAGGTTAAGTTGACCTATAATAACAGATAACGTAACTCCTCACAACAAGCATGATATGCACTAAAAATATATATATGGTAATGACATGCTATAATCAGTTATAAGTTGCACTAATAGTTTACAAATTCATTTATACTGTCAGTATACATAACTTACATTATATTTTTTTATCTTAAACGAACTAAATAACGTTTATTTTCATTGTGCAATTGATATTAGTTTGTGGGAAGAAAAGAATTTTTTTAACGTTTGAAGTAAAAAGAATTGACATTTGAGTTGATTTGTAATATGTAGGAATGGTGGGAGATTATCGAACGAAGCAAAGGAAAGGGCAAAGTTGAGGAAATTGAAGAAAGCAATGAAGATGAAGAACTTGAAGCTCTACAATGAGAACAAAACCATAATTGAAGAGAATGAAAGGTTGCGCAAAAAAGCTCTTCTTCTTCATCAAGAAAACAAAGCCTTGTTCTCTCAGCTTCAACAAGTATTTCAACCACCCAACCACGATTAATTATACTAGTAACTAATTAAGTTAGCATCATATTATGAAGCTCTAAACGGTACTATAATTAATACACATTAATACTTATCTTTATATATTTTGCAGTATGATAGCTAATAGCTTGACCGTATTCTAGTTGGTTGTTTGTATTTTATTTTTATCATATCTTGTATTCGATTTGTTACTACGTGGAATAATGACTTACTATGAAAATTTGAAGGTTTCTTTGGTTTCGAGGATGTTGATTATTTATACATGCATTTTCACGATGCACAAGTAGAATATGTCCAGTAGATTTTCTGTCATTGGGTTTTTAATCTATGTTATCGCACTTTTGTTTTTGATGTGTCCGTACCTTGAATATAAACTTTATGAAATTTTTATGTCTATATTTTGTAACTCCCTTAGTATTCATGAAATATTTTTGAATTGTCATTTTTAGTTAATTTGAAAAGTTAAGAAGTTAAAGGTTTATTTTTCATTTGATGGAGATTTTAATACGAACCATAATCTTTTTTATTTTATAATCATTTATTTGGTCCTTATAGGTTTAATTCATTATGCAGATCTAGTTAAAATCGTTATTATTTATTTAAAGACTCTTGTGAACGCGGCATTTTATTACTACTCAATTCATTACCACAGCTCAACCAACAACCAGCAGGCTCCGCCGCATGTCCACCAACTCTAACCTACATTTGCACAATTGCTACAGCCAACCGCACAATCAGCCACCACCGCACAATTGTTAAATATTCAGATTTTAAATATCTTAATAATCAAATATGTATTTAGATGCAAACATATTATTAATCATCATAAATACAAATAGGGATAAATCCTGTCAACCTCTAATTCCTTCTACTTTAAAACCAACCAAACATGGAAAATACTAAAAAGTAACAGGAATGGCGGCAATTTTAATTGTAAGACATAAATATATAAATTAACGTAGTGGCGAAGCCAGATATTTCCTCAAAGGTATTCAAACTTGAAAGAAGTGAAAAACTTCTCCGACAAAGAGTGTGCAACAATTGTTATATACTTCTAAAACTTAATATTTTACCTATATACGTAGTGTAATTTTCCGACAAAGTGTGGTCCCTATAAGACATGTCGCTTCGCCCCTGAATTAATGTATTAGGTGGTCCAATTATCTTGGGCTGATAATTATTGGGCTTAACAAAAACTTAAGATAGCCCGTATATCTAGTTGTAAAAATTGCACGGGGCGCCCTATTTGGTCGCCCCCATTTAACCTATACCCATTTTTTTTTTAAAATTTTAACTTGTACCCACTTTTTAAACAACTTTAGCCCCCTTTCTCCTCCTCCTTCTCCTCCTTCGTTTTCTTCTTCTTCTTCTTCTTCTTCTTCTTCTTCTTCTTCTTTCTTCTGCTGTTGTTGGTGCTGCTATGAAATTTCAGTTCATGGGATGATTGCCATAAGTATGTTTATCAGATTATTTAAAAATAAATTATAAATAATTACGTAAGTTAGTGGACAATAATTTATAAATATTTTCACGTACGGAAAGTTTAAGGTCACACTTAGTGATTCTTTTCAAGATAATTCTGTTCTTTTCACGTTTATTTGTTTCCAAAATTTTATGATTTAGTTACTGTTGGAAATCTGATTATTTTATAGTAGTCTGATTATAACAAAACTAATGAATCCAGGACAAAAAAACTTCAGCTTATTTAGTGCTGAAGTTTTTACAAATGAACTAAATAACTTCAGCATCTTCTGCTTAAATTTTTGAACAAGCTTTTATGACAAAACTAATGAATCCAGGACAAAAAAAATTTCAGCTTATTTAGTGCAAAAGTTTTTACAAATGAACTAAATAACTTCAGCATCTTTTGCTGAAGTTTTTAAAAAAGCTTATCTAGGACAAAAGAACTTCAGCTTATTTTGTGTTGAAGTTTTTATATATGAACTATATAACTTCAACATCTTCTGCTGAAGTTTTTGAAAAAGCTTAATGACAAAACTAATGAATCTAGGACAAAAAAACTTCAGCTTATTTAGTGCAATTACAAACAAAAATTTCAGCAAATAGAGAACAAAACTTCAGCTACTATGCTTAAATTCAACAATTACAAACAAAAACTTCAGCAAATAGAGAACAAAACTTCAGCTACTATGCTTAAGTTCAGCAATTACAAACAAAAACTTCAGCAAATAGAGAACAAAACTTCAGCTACTATGCTTAAGTTCAGCAATTACAAACAAAAACTTCAGCAAATAGAGAACAAAACTTCAGCTACTATGCTTAAGTTCAGCAATTACAAACAAAAAGTTCAGCAAATAGAGAACCAAACTTCAGCTACTATGCTTAAGTTCAGCAATTACAAACAAAAACTTTAGCACACTTGGTTCAGTGCACTTGCTATTTCAGGCCCGCTTACTAGAATGCTGAAGTTTTGCGTGATTGCCTTTGCTACTTCAGCCCGGTATGCTGAAGTTACGCGAAAAAGTGGGTACGCTTGCAATTTTTTTTGCAAGGGCACAAGTTAAAACGTGACCCAAAAGCGGGTATAGATGCAAATGCCCCTACCCAATCACCTTAAACTAAAAATAATTGGTGGATGTATAATTATCTATAATCTATATAAACGACTAGAAAAAATAAACATTATTTCTGTAAAGATTCCAAAACTTAAATGTTGTAAAATGGATTTTTCAAACAAAATTCAACCCAACCCATGCCAAACTCATATATTTGAAAAATGTTCAAATAGTTAGAGAGGTTTATGCAATAATTTAATTAGTGTCAACCTGCAGATGTAATCAGTGATCTATTACTTAATTTCATATAAAAATTAGATAACTGAAATAGGTTATAGCTAATCATCCTTGATCAATTTTAAAAAATTTCAATAGCATTCTAGTGAGCAAAATGGCTGATATTCAAATCTCGTTGCAATGTTTTTAAATTAAAATATAAAATGGAATTGCAGCACATAAATTGAATTAGGAAGCTATTCGAGCTACCAAGTCCAGGTAAACTTACGCTTGCCATCAACCCCCAATATGTAGTCGGAGTGTGGACTCGGTCCTCTATTTTAGATGGATTTATTTTATATTGGCCAAAAGTGCGAAGAATATTTATTCTTTTTATGTATTTTATCCTCTTATCACATGTAATTTATTTTACGATGTCAATGTATGCAAGTTAAACGTAATTGAGATTGTTTATCAAGGTAATTAGTATTTGGTACTACCTAACAAGAGATCTAATATTACTAGAGTAGGAGACAATTAGTTTAATTATGATTTGGACATCAACAAATCAATAATTCACTTTCAATCTCCTCTTATTATCACAAGGGAACACTCCTCACCCCGTAGGACTGGTAAGAATGGGTTGCAAAATGGGCGAATGACACAAATAAGATATTATTGTGCTACTATTAATTTTTTTACTATGATAATAGAAGTTTTGGGGAAAAACTTCGCGTTAGAATTTTAAAGCATGTTGGACAAGATTTTGTTTGACAAAAAATTATTAAACTTCTTGTTAAACTAATTAATGAGGAAATAGAGGGTGAATCCTAGTTAAACGTAATAAATTCTAGATTTGAAATTGGGGAATATCAGTGATATGGGGCCGTGTTCAATAATGACGAATATCAGACATATATATATATATATATATATTTAATGATTGTCAATGAATGTAGTGATAAAAGCATGCAATAAATGTAGATAATGAAAATAAATGTAATAAGGAGGAATTTATCACCCAAATGTTGGGTGACTTGGACGATTCTCCTTCCTGACAATAACGTGAGGTGGTAGAAAGTGAAGATAGACAAGGAATCTTTGGATCTTGTGAATGAAAAATGTATATAGAACAATGTAATCAGTGAACAAGACAAGCTTTTGTATTTTATTTACAGTCAACCCTTTACAATATATTTTTCTCAAGAAGTGAAGATCCCCTTTTTGTTCTTTATCTCTTCCTATTTATAGGGGATATTCATGAGAAACCTGAAAAAGTATAACTGAAGGAATATTCAATGGAATATTCCTTCTTTCTAATCTAACTTATCCTACCGTTATTTTCACACACCCTTTGCTCGACCTCGACCCTAATCTTTCTTAAGGCGACTCCTTGCCTTCACGCCGTGGCAGGATTGCTCTTCGACCACGTCCATTTGTATCTATTAAGTCTAAGCCAAATTTTGACCAATACAGTTAGTCCCTCCGCTTGTTGAGGTCGTAATCTTGGACGTCCTCAATGAGCGGATCCTGTCTGCAGCCGTTTAGAGGAATTTTGGTCGTGACGATTGAATCGGATTGGCCGAGGTTTAATAGGTGGCGGGGCTGCGGTTGGTGTGGTTATCGTAGGATGACGTCATGCCACGTGCGTCATCATTACGCGTCTTCCCAATGCAATGTCTGTGCCTCTATCGCTTCGGTTTTGGTGCCGTTGACGGCTCTTTGCCTCAATTCCGGTGTTTGCCAACCCTATAAGTAGAGGAGAGGGGTTTCATTTTCAAAACTTTCAGCATTCTTGTTGCATGCATATCGTTTTTCTTTGATCTTCTTCTTAGATCTCCACTTCCGATTTCTTGCAATTTCTTCAACTTCTTTCCCTGATTTCTTTCCCGGCTGATATCTTCTTTTTCCAACTTTGTTGCACATACTTTACCACGGAAACATGTTGAATTCCCCTCATATTTACGACGGAGTCACTGATGCCACTCCTTTAACGGTGTCCATTCCTCCCGGTGGTGAGGAATCCATGACTGAGGAGGAAGAAAGTTTTCCCACCGTGGAGAAGGTGGTTCCTGGTTTTTAATTTCTTTTTTGGTATCAGTTCACGAAACAAATTCTTGTCGCCGTCAGTATCAAACAATTGGTCGTCGCCTTGCTGGAGAATAATCCAATTCAATTTTGTAGTTAGTTCTGTTTTAATTTCGATTAGCAGTCTCCTCTCTGTTCCGGCGTGCTTTTGACATTCAACCATCATTATCAATTGCATCAAATTTCACATTTCAATAAGTAAGAATCTTTGAATTCTGGTAACTAATTCTACTGATCTTTGCTTTCATTATACGTATTTTTTTGCCCTCTGCGAATTTCTTGGAGAGTTAAGGTCGAAACCAAATCGTATCAGTTCATGAAATAATTTTTTATCGCCATCGGTATCTAACAACTGGCCGTCGCCTTGCCGGAGAATAATCCAATTCAATTTTTTATTCAGAAATTTCACTCCAGTTCTTCAATCCCTTTGAATTATTAAATTTACCTGACGCCATCGAAGATCAGTACTCGCACCTTCTTTTCTCGCAGTTCTTTCCACATCTGAATTGCATTTGGCCAAAAAAATAAAGAACCCTCCGTCGGATTATTACGTGAAATAATTGGGACTCTGTTTTTTGTTACCCTTCTTGCCAAGAAAAGGGTTTGGTTGCGCATTCAGCGGATTTGGAAACGCATCCGGACATCTCCGACTGTGATCCAGGTTCCATCTTTCTTGTGTTGTATTTGCGCACATCTATTTACTGTTGCTTTGCCGGAAACTTTAATTGGATTGATTGCTTTTTCTATCTTTTCTACAAGTGTTTTAAGCTTAAGATTTCGTCTATCCATTTTAATTATATGTTTGCATAGGGGTAGTTTCTTAGACGTGGTAGATTCATTGTTCTAGTGCCTGTTCGTGTTACTGTTCTCGTAGTAGCTCCTTTGAGTTGTTTTTAGCTCTCGGGTTCATAGCTTGTAGTCATTCGTTCCCATTACTTGCTCTTGGTGGTAGTGTTTACCTGATACCTTTTGTTTATAATGGCGATAGTGAACGATGTGAGAGTAAGGTCATGTCCTCGGATGCGGCTGGGGGTGGGGTCCGGGGGTGGGAAGGGGGGTAAGAAAGCCTCTAGGCTGAGAATTGGGTCTTGGAACATTGGGACGTTGACGGGGAAGTCTATAGAGTTAGGTAAGATTCTTCAGAAGAGGAAGATCAACATAGCGTGTGTTCAGGAGACTAGATGAAAAGGTACTAGGGCACGAGATGTAGACGGCTTTAAACTATGATACTCAGGAACCACTGGGGGTAAGAATGGGGTAGGTATTTTAGTTGACAGGGACCTTAGGGAGCTCGTGGTCGAGGTTAGGAGGGTAAATGATAGGTTGATGAGTATTAAGCTGGTAGTTGGTGGGTTTACTGTAAACGTGATTAGTGCATACGCTCCTCAGGTAAGTTTGGACCAGGAGGTCAAGAAGCAATTCTGGGAGGATTTGGACGAGATGGTGCGTAGTATCCCGCACACAGAGAAGTTTTTCATTGGCGGAGATTTCAATGGTCATATTGGGGCTAGTGCTAGGGGTTATGATGATGTGTATGGTGGGTTCGATTTTGGGGATAGGAATGGGGGAAGTAATTCACTGTTGGAGTTCGCTAGAGCTTTTGATTTGGTTATAGCTAACTCGAGTTTTCCAAAGAGGGAAGAGCACCTGGTCACTTTCCGTAATTGAATGGACAAGACTCAGATTGATTATCTTCTCTGCAAGAAACGCGATAAAGGTTTGTGCACTGACTGCAAGGTCATCCCAAATGAGCACCTCATGACCCTACATAGGCTCCTAGTTATGCACCTGGAGATCAAGAGGAGTAGGAGGAAGAGGGCGGGGTGCAGACGAACTAAGATCAAGTGGGGTAACTTGATCAAGGACAAAGCTCAGGACTTAGGGGAGAAGTTGTTGGCTATGAGGGACTGGACGAGTAGGGGGGACGCATCTAGTATGTGGTTCACGATTGCAAATTGCATTAGGGTAGCTGCTAGAGAGGTCTTATGGATCACAAAGGGCTCTCCTGGGGGTCATAAATGGGACTGGTGGTGGAATGGAGAGGTTCAAGGTAAAGTGGAAGCTAAGAAAGCTGCTTATTTGAAGCTAGTGGAGTGTACAAACGAGGAGGAAAAAAGGACTTATTGGGAGTGTTACATAAAGGCAAAGAATAGCAGTTACGACGGCTAAGAATGCGGCATTTACTCATCTGTACGAGGAGCTCGGGGGCAAAGACGGGGACAAGAAGTTGTACCAGTTGGCCAAGGTGAGGGAGAGGAAAGCCCGCGATTTAGACCAAGTCAAGTGCATCAAGGACGAGGATGGCAAAATGTTGATGGACAAGGCATATTAGGAGAAGATGGCAGACATACTTCCATAAACTGTTGAACGAGGAGGGGGATAGACGCATTGTGCTGGGTGAGTTGGAGCACTCCGAGAGTCGACGGGATTTTGGGTACTGTAGGCAGATTACGGAAGAGGAAGTGGAAGGGGCGATGCGTAAGATGTGCATGGGTAGAGCGATGGGGCCAGACGAAATCCCGGTGGAATTCTAGAAGAGCGTGGGGCGGGGCAGGTTTGGAGTGGCTCACTGGGTTGTTTAATATTATTTTTAAGACGAAGAAGACGCCCGAAGAATGGAAGTGGAGTACGATGGTTCCACTTTACAAGAACAAGGGTGATATCAAAAATTGCAACAATTATAGGGGTATCAAGTTGTTGAGTCACACTATGAAAGTTTGGGAGAGGGTGGTGGAGGGCAGGGTGAGGAGGTGCGTGTCTATTTCCGAGAATCAGTTTGGATTCATGCCGCGGCGTTCAACTACGGAAGCGATTCATCTGGTAAGGGAGCAGTAATAGGGAAAGGAAGAAGGATTTGCATATGGTGTTTATTGACCCTGAGAAAGCGTACGATAAAGTCCCAAGGGAGGTCCTGTGGAGGTGTTTGGAGGTTAGCGGCGTTCCGGTAGCATACATTAGGGTGATTAAGGATATGTATGATGATGCTAAGACTCGAGTGAGGACTGTGGGTGGTGACTCGGAGCATTTCCCTATGGAGATGGGGTTGCACCAGGGATCAACTCTTAGCTCATTTTTATTTTCCTTGGCGATGGATGTACTGTCGCGACAAATCCAAGGGGAGGTGACTTGGTGCATGCTATTTGCCGATGATATAGTGTTGATTGACGAGATGCGAAGCGGGGTTAACGCGCGGTTGGAGGTTTGGAGATAGACCTTGGAGTCTAAAAGTTTCAAACTGAGTAGAACCAAGACAGAATACGTGGAGTGCAAATTCAGTGATGAGACCCATGATGCAGATGTAGAGGTTAAGATTGATGCTCAAGTTATCCCTAAGAGAGCGAGTTTTAAGTATCTCGGGTCTATTATCCAGGGTGACGGGGATATTGACGAAGATGTCGCACATCGCATCGTAGCAGGATGGATGAAGTGGAGGCTCGCTTTCGGTGTTTTATGTGATAAGAATGTGTCCCCAAGACTTAAGGGTAAGTTTTATCGAATGGTGGTCCGACCGGCTATGCTGTATGAGGTCGAGTGTTGGCCAGTCAAGAACTCCCACGTGCAGAAGACGAAATTAGCAGAGATAAGAATGTTGAGATGGATGTGCGGGTGTACCAGGAGAGATAGGATTAAGAATGAAGCTATCCGGGACAAAGTGGGAGTAGCCTCCGTGGAGGACAAGATGCGAGAGTCGAGGCTGAGATGGTTCGGACATGTTAAGAGAAGAAGCATTGATGCTCCTGTCAGGAGGTGTGAGAGGTTGGCCATGGAGAGTTTTAGAAGAGGTCGAGGTAGGCCTAAAAAGTACTAGAGAGAGGTGATTAGACAGGACATGGCGCTACTTCAGCTCACTAAGGACATGACTCTTGATAGGAGGGTGTGGAGGTCGAGGATTAATGTAAAAGGTTAGTGGGTAGTTTTTAGTGTTCACCGATAGTCTTAGTAGCATGGATGTCTCCTCATATTCTTAGATTTTTATTACGTTATGTGGTTTTGTTCGCCTCAGGTATTGTATTGCCCGTTGCTGTTATTTGGTACTATTTATCCTTTATCTCTCCCTTTTTCTTGTCTCTTCCTTCTTTATTCCTTTCTTGCTTTCCTTTTATTCTTCTTGCCCTTCCTGAGCCAAAGGTCAATTGGAAACAGCCTCTCTACCTGCATTAGGTAGGGGTAAGGTCTGCGTACAGACTACCCTCCCCAAACCTCACATGTTAGGATCATACTGGGTTTGTTGTTGTTGGAGGTGGTTCCCAAGAATCCTTTGGTCATAAATGACTTCCCAAAGGAACCTGCTCCCGCTTCTGCTCAAGAGCTTTCTGAGACGGGGCTGCATCAAATAGCCGACCTCCGGTCCAAATACCGTATTCCTCCTTATGTCGAGATTATTCCGGCGGGAGATGACATCGTTCAGGTTCAACGACCTGGATATTGTGCCTTCTACGTTTACCCGTTCTTGGTTGGTTATTCTCTTCCTCTTCCCCCATTAGCGGAAGAGTTTTGCCACTTTTATAATGCCTGCCCGGCGCAACTCTCCCCTTATTTATACAAAGTTTTTTTGATGCTGGAGAAGTATGCGGAGTTGGCCGACTGTGAGGTCAATATTCACCATCTGCTGCATCTATTCTCACCCAGCTTCTATAGAGGCACGTTGATACATCTACGACATCGTGGGATTAAAGGGTTGGAGACCGGGATGGATGATAAGGCGAATCGGCGGTTCTGGCATAAATACTTCTTCATCAAAACCGAGCACCTGGTGGCGAACCCGACCGAGTTTCCGGAGCAATGGAACTATAATCGTAAGTACATTGCCATATGTTCGTTCTTTGCTTTCTTCCTCTCCTTTCGTTTTTCACTCTCGTGGCTTCCTTATTTCTAGCTGAGAGGCGTGCACCTTCTCCCGTCTTCGATATTAAAGATTGGGTGGCTCGCGTGTTACCCCACACCGTGGGAGTTTGCAACTGGGCGTCCTTTCACAAGCGCTTTGGACCCAAGACCCCGTCCGGTAAGTGTTGTTTCTACCTTAACTTATTATCGTTCACTATTGCTTTTTGATGCGACCTTCCATTGGTGCCAGATCGGCGAGTTTCTAAAAAGGTGAAGGTCCCTGCATTTTGCTAGGCTGTCGCATCGGCCGGAATGCAGTTTGCTTTAGTTGAGTCCCCTCGAGGAGGTCGGGCCCAAGTTGCGCCGATGAGGGACTCTGCCCCTCAAACTGCTGTCGTGCCGGATGAGATCTCTTCTCGGCCTATCTATCATCTTGTGGATGAGTCATCTCACGGCGAGGAGGCATCGCCAAGGAAAAGACGAAGGGTGGAGATCGGGAAGGCCATTGTCGCCGATGTTGAGCCGAAAAGATTTGTCGCTTCGGGAGCAAAATCAGTGCTTAAACCAGATGTCGAGGTTATTTCTGCGGTGGGTGCCGTTATGGCGAGGAGGTCCTCTGAGGTTGAAGGGGTTTACGGTGGCGGAGAGCTTATGCGGGCTACTGAAGGTGGCTTATCATTGGCAGCTGGGAGAGATAGAGCTGTCCCTGCAGGGGACGATGACTCTGGTTCGGACATCGACCCTGAGGAGATACGAGCCTTCGTGGAGAGGACTACTCGTGTGGAGATAAGGACGTAGGGTCCTAATCGGCATATAGTCATTCCCATGGATTACGACCTCTTAGCCAACTCAGAACGGGCGGTGCCGGCCTTTGCTCCCCTGTGTGCGGCTTCCGAGAATACGATGCTACAGATGCTGAAAGATGCGGATCTGTCGTTGGATATATCCGGCATGGCCCTGCGAGTGAGTTTGCTTTTCCATGTTAGGTTAAGTTTGTTTCGTACGTGTAATTTCTTTCCACTGACCTCTTCTCTCTTTTTTGCATGTCTGACTCTTATTATGGGGATCGAGCGTGACCGACGGGAGGAGCGGAGTACGGCCATTTTTAAGAAGAAGACCTCCAAGTACAAAGAGTACCGTACCAAGCACCGAACGCTGGCCGACTTTCTAATCCAGGATGGCCAATTCCAGTCGCTCCGTGATGAGCTCAAACAAAAGGACGATGAGCTGACGAAGAAGGATGAAGAGTTGAAGGAGAGGGATAAGGAGCTTATGAGGACCATCAGTAGGTGCATCGAGCTTGAAGCTGCGCTAAAGGCCAGGGAGGAAAAGCTCGAGGTGAGCAAGGGGGTGATGGCCGAGAATGCTGACCTTTAGGCGTAGGTGGTGTCTTTAACGGTCGAACTCGAGCAGGGGGAGGAAAGGGCCGTCGTTCTGAGGGATGAGCTGAGTGCCAAGATCGAAGAATTGGGTCGGGCTGAGAAAGTCAGAATGGTAGTTGTGGCTGAGGCGGCGGCCCTAGATGATGCTCTCCATGTTTGTAGGTCTGAGTGGACTAATGAGGCAAAGACGTTGGCGCTCAAGGAGGCAAGGTTGGAGGAGCGGATCATGGGTTTGGAAGCGGAGTTGTCGGAGTTAAATGAGCAAGTCGTTGCCCTGAGGGCCGAGAAGACACAACATCAGGCACAACCGTCTACATCTTGCACTTCCTCCGATCCTGGTGTATCGCGGGAGTTGTATGAAATGTGGGTCCATGCCAAGGCTCAGCTTGATGTGTACAAGTCTCTGCAGGTTGCCGCGAAGGTTTCCCAGGCGGAGCTTGAGGGCATTCGTGTCAAGGCACG